TATCTCTTTCTTCGCGAAGTTAGAAACGCGCTTCAATTCAAATCCATTACTACAAAAAGAATATTGCGATTTCATAAAAGAGTATGAGTCGCTAGGACACATGGAGCGTGTGCCGGATCAAAAAATTCTGAATTCGAACTATTATTTGCCTCATCACGGTGTGTGGCGTCAAACTAGCACGACTACTAAACTTAGAGTCGTGTTTAACGCCTCACACAAAAGCACTTCAGGTCTGTCTTTAAACGACCTGGTACATACTGGTCCAAATCTACTACCGGAAGTTTTTTCTATTTTATTACGCTGGCGCAGACATGCTATAGCTTTCGCGGCGGACATTGAGAAAATGTATCGTCAGATTAGGATATCCCAAGCAGACTGTGATTTTCAAAAGATCGTTTGGCGACATTCTCCCGATTCTAAAATCTCTACTTACAAACTTTCAACTGTTACTTACGGCATGGCATGCGCTCCATTTCTGGCCATCCGTACTCTACATCAGTTAAGTACCGACGAAAAAGAGTCTTATCCGCTGGCAGCTTCTTGTCTTTTGCACGACACCTACGTCGATGACGTAGTATCTGGATCTAACACTCTGGAAGAAGCCATTCTCCTTAGTAATCAATTAATTGCGTTGTTAAGGGCGGGCGGCTTTAAACTTAGAAAGTGGGTATCTAATAATCCCGATCTTCTAAAACACTTACCAGCGGATTACCTTGCATCTTCCTCTAATCTAGTGTGCAACTTTGACTCAGTTTCGAGTCTCCTTGGTTTGAGTTGGAACACTTCCTCGGATTGCTTTATTTTCAGTCCTCAACCTCGAAACCTTACTGGACGCATAACTAAAAGGACAGTTTTTAGTGAAATCTCAGGATTGTTCGACCCACTAGGCCTTCTGGCTCCGGTAGTAATTCTCGCTAAAATCTTTATGCAATCACTTTGGCTGCTGAGTTTAAATTGGGACGATTCGCTTCCCAACCCTCAAAGGGATTTTTGGGTAACTTACCTGTCGGAATTGAGTGCTATTTCCTCGCTTCGGATACCTCGCTGGCTTTCTACTTCATCCAA